GAAGTTCGCCCTGGAAAGGGCTCGTGGTGTGGGGGAGGGGCGCGGGGAAAGGATAGAGACCCAGCCTTAGAGGCCTGGAGAGGCGAGGAACCTGCTCAGCTTCGGGGGACGTGCTGCAGAGAGCCAGGAGTGAGAGGAGCTGACAGGCCTGTCAGGAAGTCACCTTGATGAGTCCCACACCCGCCCGTCAGGTTCCTTCTGCCCAGGGGAGGAGCTGCTGTGAGTCACGCTGCTGCCCCCCACCCTCCACTCACCCACTCAGCACACACGCACGCGCGCGGCCTCCCTCTGGAAGACGGATGTCATGTTCCTTCCTCACCCAGAGAAGACCCTGGAGCCTGAGGGCATCGGGGAGAGAAGTGGAAGTCTGGGGGCCTTGCCTGCTGGAGCAGGATTTCCGGGATGGGATTGGGCTCTTCTCTGCAGCACAAAGTCTGGGACCGCTGAGAATCTCTTCAGACACATCGGGGTGTGGGAGGGAGCTAGTTTCCAGAGGCGCCGTGCTCTGGAGGGCAGGACTGCATGGGGCGGGCAACCTGGTTGGTGGAGTGAGGAGTCCATCTCCCCCAGTTCTGGGAGTCCGAAGTCCTTCCATCCTCTTTGGCCGAACTCAGGCCTGCACCCCTGGCCCCGCCCTCTCCTCTTAGCCTGCGGCTCTGTGGGAAGGGGCTCCAGCTTCAGCCCATCTCTGCGGTCACCACACCTAGACCTTCACCCGTCACCTAGTAACTCCTTCATTTGTCTTTCAAAAATTCTGCTTACTGTCCTTTCCAAATGTAGTCTACAGCTACATGCTTATAAAATTTTAGCCTCAGACAAGTCAGCATGTGGAGGAGAGCTCCTGCTTCCCTGCAATCCTGCTCTCTGCTCCAGTCACTGCCCTTGAGAATCCTGTGTGTGTTTGGGCCTTTTACATACTGTTCCCCCCCCCCAACTGCCACACAAAGGTATTTGAAAAATGAACATCTAGCTCATCAGGCCAGTCTGTGATTTTTCATTTTCCTCTTTTCAATTAAAAATGTCAGAGGTGCTTTCCAGGTCAGCAGGATGAGTAGACCTCAACACATGCAGATGTGCTCCCCGAGGCACCCAAGAAGCCTGGGTTTCCTTCTGGAGGACCGTGGGCTGTTTCCAAGTGTTACAAACCACGCCGCAGTGAAATCAGTCATTTCACACAAGAGTAAGTATTTCTGGGATTCAGACTTCTAGGAGTGGCATCAGTGAGCCAAAAGGGAGGCATTGCATGTCTGATTCTGACTTCTTGTCCAAGTTTGAAGCACATTTCCAAGTCACCACTCAGGGCTGCTTGGCAGAGGGCGGTGTGCTGGCGTTTGCAGATGTGTGTCTCCGAGCACTCCAGGCACTCCGGACTCAGCACACCCAGTGCCAAGCCCACTGCCCCCCTCCCCTCCCACCCTGCCACTTTGCCTCCTCCCTCCTTGCTTTGTAAATGCTATCACCAAAAGCACCATGCTTTGGGTCATCTTTACCCAAGGTATCTGTGTGCCTAGAGTTGTGTGTCCCGTTCTGGTAAAATTACTGGTCAGAGTTCATTCGTACTCCAATGGTTCTGGATTGGACAATAATATATATGGGCACACTTCCCTTTTTATCTCTGATTCTGGTTAAATCCACCATCAAGCCCCACCAATTCTTCCCTTGTCCATCCCTCTATTTCTTTCCCACTGTGTGTCCCATAAGGCTTGAGTGACAACAGCAGGGTCCTAAGTAGGCTCCCTAATTTGCATCTCACCTCACCGCTACCTGCCCTTCACTCTGAAGCCAGTCTTGCCTTTTTAAGCCAGGACTTTCCCCGTATGGCTCTGCGGCTCCCTGTTGCCTGCAGAATTGAGTCCCTTCATGGTGTGTCCTAATGCCATGTGTGTTAGAGCAGGATCACCCTGGGTCAGAAGACTGCACGGCCTGTCTGGAGAAGGGCAAGTTCAGGCACTAGAAAAACTGTTCCATGCCGCCCCAACCTGCGTGAGACGGTCTGGCATGAGAAAGTCAGAAAGTAAAGAGAAAGAGTCCTTGGGAGCTGAAGATGGCTTGGAGGCGGCGTGGGCCTCTCAGTCCGGATCTGGATTACTGATAGACACCGGCCCCCTGGGGCGACCCTTCTTCCAGCTCATGCTTTCTCCTCTGGCCCCTGCCTTGTCCCTTGGCGTCTCAGCAGTCCCAACCTGCCTCTTTTCCACCTCTTGCTGCAGGGTTGGCATCCTCGGGGACACCCTACTGGGCCTCTTCCCCTTGCGGCCTGATCCCTGCACTCCGTACCAACCTTAAGCATGCCACATATGATCACAGACCCAGGAATGCCCAATCTGTGAGCGACAGGCCTTTGTGGTACTGTAAGGACTGGCTGTCAGGTCGCTTCCAGTCGGCCAAACCCTGGGGAGATGGCTCCACGGAATGTCCAGGAAGGCCTGGTCAGAGCTTCCCGTTCTTCCCCCATCCTGTTACCTCCACCCACCCAAGTCTCTATGGGAAGTCTGTGGAGCTTTCCAAACCCAGGGGGTACCTGCAGCCTCTGCACTCCCTTCCTTGGCATCTCCTCCCTTCACTCAGAGGTTGCCAAATGGATGGTGGGCTTGGATGGGTCCTGGTGGCTGAACTCCAAGCAGAGGGGGAGGCATCCTGGCCCCCTGCCAGGGTTCTGTCCATGGTAATTTGGCAGGGAAGAGCCAGCTGCATAGATCTGCACATCTGTTTATGCCTCTGGCTTGTTATTTATTCTCTGCCTTTCACGGGCAGCAGAGCCAGAATACACCTCAACTCTTCCCAAGTTAGATTAACTGGGAAAGAAGGCTGGGACATTCCGTCACTGCAATTGCTGATGCTCATTGAAGGGTATGCCTTCTCCAGCAGCTGCTGCCACTTTTCATAGAGACACAGAGGAGAGGAGAGTGGGAAAGAGAGGGGAAGGGAGGAGAGGGTTGTGAAGTTAGGGCCCCAGCATGCTGGGAGTAGGCAGGCAGGCAGCTCCGCGGCACCCTGCAGAGGGGAGCACTGTCCAGTCTTTCAAAGCCAGTCACCAGGACCTCCCTTCCTGCTCAACATTAGATCCCAGTGTGTGTCTTGAGATTAGGGACAAGGAGTGAGAAGAAGAAGAGGAGGAGGAACAAGACAGGGAGGAGTAATAGGAATGGAAAGAGAAGGAAAGTAAAAGGGGAGTGGTAAGAGAATGGGGAAGTGGCTTAGCCAAAAAAGAAGAGGGCTGCCTAGAGACCTGGAAGATGGAGATCTTGAGATGGCGCTGCCGCTGTCCTTGGTCCTGACCCACAACACGCCCACGAGAGGTCAGAATGCCGAGCGGGGATAGGCCCCCAGGCTCCCAGTTTCCTTTGAAAGTGTCTGGATGATTCCGGAGGAGGAACAAAGAACTGAAACTGCATCTGACAGGAACTAAAGCCACAGGTCTGACTTCTGCTTTTACACTGCCTCCCTTTGCTGCCTCTCCTCAGAGCAACGGCCTGGGAAGGCAAATGGAAGCAGTATGTCAGTCCAGGCTTGTTTTTAGCAGTCTGATTGCTTTGAGTCTGATTACCCAGCATTCCCCACCCAAAGGGGCCCCCGATTTCTAGTCAACTTGTCTCATGAGGCTAGACTCAGGCCAAAGGTCTTCTGGGGCTCAGGAACCTGCTCCAGGAGCTGTGTCGCCCTTCTGAACCCTCCAGGTCTGCCTGCTGCAAGGAGCCCCACTCCTTTAAAGAACTGAAAAATGAACATCATTTTTCCTTCCTTTAAAAAATTATGTACAATGAGCTAGTCCCAGGCAGGCCTTGCACAGATGGAGGTTTAATCAGCTGTAGTCTAAACACATGGGCATCCAGCTTAACTCAATTCTCACCCATTCATTAAGGGAAATGTTCATCACCCAGAGATTACAGCAGGGCAAAACTCTGAATGGATTCTAAAGAGCTGTCAGTGGAGTGGTGTGGTGCCTGCCCCAGCCATTCTGGGGCCACTCAGGGCAGGGACACCTGCCAGTCCTGGTCATGCTGAGGCCCCAGCTCCTACCTGGCTACATCACAGGTGCTTTATTTTGAGAATCTCTACAGATTTCAGAATTAAGCCCTGAGGGGGGTGATAAGAGAGAAATATCAACTGCCTTTGAGAATCCCTGTTTGGGGGGGATACCCGGCCTTTCCCTGCTTTAGGGAGCCTCCTGTCTCCCTGGAGGAGTGGATCCTACACTGTAGACTACTCTCTCAGCTCTCTGAAGAGTATTTTTTTTTGTTGTTGTTGTTTTTTTTCCAGTACCGAGAATCGAACTGACGACCTTGCGCTTGCCAGGCAGGGGCTGTGCTGCTGAGCTAAATCCCCAGCCCTTTGAAGAGTATTAACACATGAGGGATTAGACATCTTTGTCCTAGAATCTCTAACAAGAGGTTAGACAGCGTCTCCTCATGAAGGTCCATAGGAGCTTGACTCCTCCCAGTCCCTAAAGAAACCAGAAGCAAAAGTTGGAAATAGATGTTAGGTACAGACCTCAGATCATGGGACACCATTGCCTCCCTTCTGTGGTGGGTGGGCTGGGCCAAGGTGAAGCTAGAGGGTGGGGAAAGGGCCCCTTGCAAGGTCAGATCTTCCCAAATAGGTGAAGTTCCACCAACATCAGGCAGCATCACCTCCTGGTACTGGAAATATTGGATGTTACCCTGTGCATAGTTCTTGCCCACATTCCCATCTGAAGCTTGGGAAGCTGGTTTGTCAATCAGCTCCGACTTTCCTGATGCCACCCTCTGCCAGCCATTTTCGTCTTGTCCTCCCCAGCACTGGTGGTGTGGCTCTAGGTAGCTCACATTCATCCCACCCCAGGGTGTGTGTGAACCAAGTGCCTTATTAGGTTCTCACAGGGTTAGGCTTCGGCCTTAACACCCACAGTGCTTCCTGCCACCCCTATTTCTTGGCTGCAGTCCTAGTCATGATCCTGACAGCCAGGATCTCCTCTGGCCAGGTCCTCTGCCCTTCTGAGGATGGAAGAGAGGGAATGTGGAGCCTGCACTTATCTATGGGCGAGGGACAGCTTTTTGCAAGCCGCTCATTGATACCGAGGCTGAAGGACAGGCAGGAGGCACCCAGGTGCGTGTTCACGGCAGGGGAGGGTTCTCTGCCCCACTGGCCCCTCTGCTTCCTGGACTCCCTTGACTCCTTCCTCAGCAGTGGGCCTCAGAGGAACACAGTCCATACATGCGTACAATTGCATGAGGAAATTTGTCTCAAGGAATTGGGTTATGCAACTGTGAGTTGCCCAAACAAGTCTGAAGTCTGTAGGGCTTCAGTGGGAGGGAAGAGGAGGAATACGTTGGAACCCCTAAGCACTGGCTGTGTCCGAGGGCAGCCGGGCTGAGAAGCCTGGCCAGGGGAGAGCGACTGCAGACCCAGCTGCCTTTGGGAGTCTCTCGAGGAAGAGCCCAGGCCCTCTTAAGGGCCCACCTGCTGGGGCCAGGTCTGTGGAACACGAGCTCCTTAGTTTGCAGTCAACAGACTGGGGACGTGGATGGTATCTTCAGAATCCCTCGCCCAGCAGGGAGGGAGTGCCCCCCCCCCTGCTCAGTGGGACCTGCACAGCCCAGGGACATGCTGTATGCTGGATAACCGAGAGAAGGTGTGTGTGAGCCACAAAATAATGCCTCCGCCCTGCTCTCTGGTCATGTCACAGCTTAGCCTAGCCCAGTTGACACCTGGAAGAAAGCAAAGCAAAGCAAACCAAGCCACCTGGGGAAATGATTTTCATCACAACCAGCAGTTGTATCCTCTTTGGGAAAGTTCCAGACACATAGGAATTGCTCGATGGATGAGTTGGACCTAGCTGGCAGGACTTGAACCCCCAAGAAGGTGAGATGTCTCTTCCCATTGGGAGGCCAGGGAACCCTGTCCTCATTTTCCTTGGTCAGAAGTGAGGGCTTCTTTGTGGGGCTCCTGGAGTTTGTGGACATGGGGCAGGATGGGGAGGACCTCAAGATTAACCAGCACTCTGAGGGCTCCCTGTTCTAGCTGTTAGGGCCACCAGAGTGACCACTACTCTAGCTACAGCACCGGGTGATGGGAACGGCCTCGTGACCGATAGGGCTTTAGCAGGTAATTACCCGGCAGAAGCTGGGAGCTGACAGGGTAATTATTAGCTTCTAATTGCAGGGCAAATCCAGGCCGGGATCCTCCTCTCCAAAGCAGAGGGCATTACTATTTGCATAGCAATTAATTACTTTGGGAGCTACGGAATTTAATTACCCACTCGTCCGCAGGAGCCAATAATTAAATTACTCTCAGAAATGGTATTTATTGCCCAGTTAGGCTGAGCAGGTAGCTCCGACAACCTTGGGGAGTGCCCTTGGTGGTGACCCCTGGACAGATGTCAGGGCCTCGGCCTAAGCAGCCATAGAGCGTTAACCTCAAAGGAACTGCACAGGCGCAGGGCCTCCTGGGGCCCAGGGATGCACAGCCCCGCACGCCAGCCGTGACCCATGGGCTGCTGCCCCACGTACCGTAAGCATCCCGTGCAGGACGCAGAGAGATGCATCCTTGGAGAGTCACTCCCACTGTGAGGAAAGAGGCGGGACGGAGAGACCATAGGCGACCTGTGGGCTTGGTCATCTTGCCACAGTCTAGTCGTTGCACCTAAGTTGCGTCAAAGTGTAAGAATGTCTTCTTGGCACTGCACACTCGGGGCAACAGGCTGTGATTCTGGGCCCATCCAGACCTGGGTCGCTCCCATGCCTCTGGGATGGGGTATGGACTGAGGGGAACTCAGGACCGAGCGGGAGTATAGAAGGACTGAGCAGTGTCCCTGGTTGGGCAGCAGTTGTTAATAAAAAATAATTCTAAACTAACCTGAGTGTCTCTGCAGTGAAAGAGCCACGGCAAAGAGTCACACGCATCTGGGGTCACGAGCCTGGAGAAGGCACCTGGAGGCTTCCCGATGCAACATGGCCCCATGGAGAACTGTGTTGGATCCGCCCCACTTCTCCTTGGCAGAGAACAAGGTCAGAGGTGGGGACACAGAGCTGAGAGGGAGCTGAGGAGACAGGGCAGCTACAAGCATGTGTTCGGTGGCTGCCCAGTGACAGCACCTCCTGTCCCCCTGGCCTGAGAAAGCCCAGAAAGCATCTGCGCCTCTCCTCCACTCTCTCTTCCTTGCCTCCTCGCGTCCCCTGGCGGCCTGCTTCCCACGCAGCTTTTACCTCAGTCCCATGGGAGCAGTGGGCCAAGTCCTGGGCCTGGGCACTGAGCACTCTAGCGTGGGCCTTACTTGCTGCCTGGTGGGCTGGGGGACCTCACATCATGGCACACCTCCTTGCTGAAGGATGGAAAGAGCGGGCTTGCTTCCCTTGCTCTTCTCTCCCTGCGGCCAGGGAAGGAAGTCTTGGGTAGATCAAGTGGGTCCTGCTTGTTCCGCCCTATGTCCATCTTCCCTTGAGCTCCCAGAAGACTAGGGCCCCTGTTGGGTGGGGCCCAGCGAGGGCCACCCACTTCCAGAGGCCACCTCTGGGGTCAGTCCCAGCCTTGGGCCCTTGGAATTTCCCCCCAAAGCTGACAGGAGCTCCTGCCCCCACCCCGATGGATGGGGTCCCGCGGACCCTTCTAATGAAGTCCTCTCTGACTCCTTTGGAGGCACCCACCACCCGAGGAGAGGATCTCCGCCAGCCCTCGGCCCAGGCTGCTGACAGCAGCAATCCATCTCCATCACAGTAATGGCGTCCCCATTAATCGGCCATAAACTAATAAAGCAAGCACTTTCCACCCTTCGCGCCCCCCCAACTTCATTAAGTCTTTAGTACATTAATATGTCTTACTTAGTGTCAGCTCAGCCTCTTTCCCCATTTGGGGTGGAGCCAGGGGTGGGCGCCTTGCCTGGTAGGTGGGGGCTGTGACCCCTCCCCTGGTCTGGGCACAGGGGCTGCTGACTCAGAGTGACTCCCTCTTCCGCCTGCCCGCTCCCGCAGGGGCCTGCGAGGATGCTCCAGGAGGAGGAGCAGGAGGAGAGGGAGACCCTGGAGCAGGAGGGTGGGCGGGAGGAGAGGAAAGGGGCAGAAAACGAAGGAGGAAGTGGGACAGCCAGCAGGAAGAGGAGGAGGGAAGGAGGAGGAGGGGCGGGATGGGGGAGGAGCTGTGCACCTCCAAATTAAATTTGTGATTCAGGCATCAGATGGGCCGACAGCCAGAGATTAATTCGACTGATCGAGTTATAAAGAGCGGGAGGCCTGAGTAATCAATCTTGCAGCTGTCAGGCCGACAGGCAGGAGTATTAACCTGGCGAGACGGGCGTACGAGGACTTCATTCCTTTCACCCCACCACGTCCCTGACCACCTCCCGCCTGTCTCTCGGAATAACAATAATTGTGGCTGTTAACGATGACAGAGACAGAGACGGGAGAGGGCCTAGCTCCTCTGCCAGGACCTCTCCTGCTCAAGCCAGGTATGGCAGCCTGACCCCCCCAGGAAGTTGAGTGCAGCTTCGTGGAGCGCAGGGGACTCCACAGAGACCCCAGACAGGTCGGAAGTGGGATAGGAAGGTGCTTCGGGGCAGAGGACAGTGTCCTCCATCCCTCCCACCTCCTGGCTGAAGTTTTTCCCACCCCAGCCAGCTGGCCCAGCCCTTGGCTCTGGCCAGGGGAGCTGGGCTCCAGAGGGTCCACCTGGCCCCTCCCGTGGGTATGACTCCTCCACTGGGCACAGGTCAGAGCCTGGGTGGTGGACTGCTGCCTGGCAGCCACTTGAGCTCTTCTTTCCCACTCGCCACCGCCTGACAGTGTCAGTCCGCACCTGGGTGCGGGGACGGGGGTGGGGGGTGCCTCCCTGCAGAGACTTGTGGAAACACCATCCTTAGGGCAGGGAACGATTGGGGGTGCCTCAAAGTTGACACCTTGCTCAGCTCCAGCTAATTTTCACATCCTTCAAACTCTGATGTCTTTCTCCCTCTTTGCTCCAGGGAAAGGAGGAGCAAAGAAACTGAGAATGTGTGTGTGTGTGTGTGTGTGTGTGTGTGTGTGTGTGCATGTGCCTGTGGGTGTGGGTGTGGGTGTGAACGCACGAATAAGAAGGTGGGAATGGGATGGGACATATTTTGGGTTTCCTGGCAGTGAGCCAGGACCTGTCAGCCCCCGGAAGTGGCCATGCCAGGTAGCAGGGCCTGGACACTCCCCTCCGGAAGCCTGAGGAGAGCAAGTGTGATTCCCTCCCCGTTTCTCAGGAGAACCCAGGTGCAGGGCTGTTGAGGGTCTGCGGTCCCTGTCTCAGTCTCAGGATGTTATCTGTAATTTTTGTCATTACAGTGCCCAACCCCGGCCTCACCCTCCCCCAGAGAGCACTGTGATAACAGCATCTCCCCGCCCCCGTTGTGCTCTTAGTGCCAGGGTCTTGCTGAAGGTCTACAGCATGACGACGTTAGTGTTCACAAAGAGACCTGTGAAGCAGATTCCATTTTTGGCCTCATTTTGCAGATGAAAAACAAGTTTGGAGAGGTTTGGAGATTTACTCAAACTCGCATAGCCAGGACACGGTAAGGCCGTTCCGTGCTCCTTGGCCGGAGTCTCAGCACAAGCTAACTTTCCCTGCAGTCCCCAAATTTCACTTGTTCCACATGACCCCATCTTCTGCAGGGCTCCTGGGTGATCCTGGATGGCTGACTCTGGCCTCTGCAGCCCAGGTGACCCAGCACCTGTCTCTCGGGTGTGAGGAGGGAGGGGAGGGTGGTGCTACTGTCTGTGCAAGGGTGGCTGGGTCTGAGGACACTCACCCAGGCGGAGGGAAGTATGGCCCCCAGAAGGCTCCCGAGTCCTGCCCTGGAATAACCCCAGGAATGGCATCTGCCCTCCCCAGCCCCATGGTGTCTTGGGAAAGGAAAGGGGTGCTGACTAACAGCACTGCCTGCTCCCCCCCAGAAACGGAGCCGCAAAAGGATTCCATACAAAGTGTGTGCTGGGACTAGCGGGCAGAGAGGAGGCGCCCCCTCACCTCCTGACCTCTGCTGAGGTCAGGCGGAGAGGGGGGAGCGGAGACGTTGGGGCATCAGCAGCTGGAGGCTGGCACCAGGCCAGCCCCTCCCCCAGGCTCCCTGGGACCCATTTCAAGTGGCTGCTTCCAGGATGAGCCAGCCCAGGGAGGGGATCGGGAACAGGGCCTCCTTCCAAGCCAGGGTTCAAGGGTCTCCCTTCCCTGCCCAGGGCAGCTACCGCTTCTGGCCTGTCACTCTCTGTGTTTACTCCCCATCCTGAACGGAGGCCTGCTGGAGGGTCTGAATTCCTGGAGACGTGGGGAGACCACTGCTACCCTGTTTGGAGCTGATGCTTGTGCTGGAAGTGGAGACGCATGGACCAGAGTCCTCCAGGCTTGTGGCTCTGACCGCTGGCACGGCAGGGGTCTAACCAGCTGCATCTGCGTTGCCACCCCAGTACCCCTACCAGGCCCCCCACCCTTGATGGACCTGCAGCCGAGGTCCTCTTGTGATGGAGGGGGTCTTCTGGTTTCCAGTCCTCTCGCCTTGTCCAGGTGATGTGGAACCAGAGCCCGGGGCTATCCCTTCGGTCATAGTCCCTCACCCCACGCCTGTGTCTTGGTGCTCCGCTCCATCAGCAGGGGAAGGACAACAGGTGCCTCTATGTTCTCTGGCTCTTTGGCCATAGGACAGGTAGAGGCAATTTTCTGGGATGGAAAGAGAAGATTCCTTAAGGTCAGTCACGTAGGACAGCTGATTTAGAACTGGTCATCTCTCGGTGCCTCGGTTTCTTCACCTGTAGATGGGGAGAAACACAGCCTGCTTCCTTGGCTGGTGGTGATGGCTGAATGAGATGGCAGAGGACTTCTAGTGCTGTCGGGGTACCTTGTTTGTGCTGAATGAATTTTGAACTGATCAGCCAGACAGGGGCAGAGCCCAGGGTGTCGGGAGGGTGTAGGCTTCTGGGGAGAGCTCTCCTTCCTGTGCCCCCACCCAGCTCTTCCACCATGTACTTTGCAACAAGCCCAGGCGAGACATCCACCTCGAGCATCCCCGCTCTGGAGAAGTCTTGGACAAGGCTGGAGAACACCAGTGTGCCGGGAGGGGGCTGCTGTTCTGAGAAAGCTGCCTGGACATCAGCCAGGCTGTGTGTGTGTGAGTGTGTGTGTGTGTGTGTGTGAGAGAGAGAGAGAGAGAGAGAGAGAGAGTGAGAGAGAGAGAGAGAGAGCGAGAGAGAGAGCGCAGTGGCTGGCACCAAGATACTTGCTGATTAATCTCTGTCTTTGGCACACCCAGATCTGGTCCCGGGATGCTTCAGGGCCTAAGGTGGTGTCCAATGGGCCTGAGGGTGCAGAACTGGGCCTGGGAAGATGGATTTCCCTGTCCCCTCAGCCCATGCCCAACAGGAAGGGGGGAAGCCTGCTTCATTATGTTTAATGGGATTATTGGAGGGGGACAGTAGTCATGGGGCATTAACTGCTAATTGGGTCCATAATAAAGTTAATAAAGCTCTTATGGTCTTTGCCATTAAATATAATTAAGGGGGTGCTCTGAGGCGAGGAGGGGGTGTTTGTGGGGAACGGGCACTGGGCCCTCACTGGCAAGAAGGAGCCAAAACAGGAGCAGGTGACAGGGAAGCTGCCAGCTGTGCCAGAGCTGGGGCGGCTCCAGCTTCCGGAGCCGCCCAGCAGGGTCCTCTGGGGCTGGAGTGGATGATGTGGACAGGAAGGGAAGGGTTTACCACACTCTGCTCCTGAGATCCCAGGAGATTATTAACTCTAACCCTGATGTCCACACTCTTGAAGAGGCTCAGAACTCAGAAGAAACGTAACTTCCGAGGGCAGCAGGCAGCAACCATCCATGAGCTTTGAGGGATGACTGCGTGAGCCTGGGCCTCTGTGGCCTCCATGTCCCTTCTGTAATGGAGTGTAACAGCCTGGTCTAAGGGTTCCAGAGGTTCTGAGGCGAGAGGAAACTAGACAAGTGGCTGTAGCACTCTTATTTTTATTTTTATTTTTATTTTTATTTTTTGTTTTGTTTTGTTTTTCCGGTACCAGGAATCAAACTCACAACCTTGCACTTGCCAGGCAGACACTGTGCTGCTGAGCTAAATCCCCAGCCCCAGCGCTCTTATTTTTTACATAGTTATTTGGCGGTGCTGCAAGGGGTGCTTGATGAAGTCTTACATCTGTAGGACATAGAAGGGCTCCCCCATCCCGCTTGTCCCTGTAACAGCTGGTGGTTATTTTCCCAGGGTTTTAGGGACACATTTATGTAAGATACATGCAGATGGAGAAATCTGCCATTTTGTTTTCTCCTATCTCTCCGTAATGGAACACTGCTGTGCATGGTTTGGCAGTTTGCCGTCTGCCTCCTGC